AGCCAGGGGAAATAAATCCAATATGCATTAATGGTGTTCCTACTGCTGTTTATTTTCAGTGTAAGCAAATATTGTTTGTGTGTGTTTATTTCTTTGTATGGACAAAAAAAAATTTGCCCTTTTCTACTTCTCGAAAGGACTGAATTTAAATTTTATTTTATGAACTAACTCTATCATTCATTATTTTAGTGAAGAACAAATCAGTAGTTCTCAATTAAATTTTTGCTATGGCCATACATGGGAAATGCTACTTTAAAGCTTCCATTTACATTATTGGAGTGAGGGGATGCATGGCGAGCCATATAGTTTGCTTCAGCTAGTGAATGTTTCCGTTTTGTTTGCGTTAGACTAGAAATGGATTAAGAGGTCAGAAGAAGCTTATGTAAAACTGTTTACCATTTTTGATACTTAGTAGTCTAAACGCAAGCATTTACACACAGATCTGGAAGTCTGACTGAAGTATAAAAATGGAGCATCAGCACTTATAAACTAAGTTCTGGAATCGGGATATGTGTTTCAGCCAGTAGTATAAACTTATTTGAAAGTGCCATTAAGTCAGTTGCACTTGTCTTCTCAAGCTTTGTGTACAAAGTTAGAGATGTAAAGTAACACTGATGTGCTATTTAATACTTTATCTGTTCCATAATACCTATTAATCACTGTCATTTTTAAGTAGCTCAGTGCTGTGCCAGGGTTTTGAAAGATTGTGCAAAAGTATGGAAGTATCTGAAAAGAACTGTATCGGCAAAAGCAAATGAATCTTCAGGGGTGATGGTTTTATACCAAGTACAGGAAAACATATGGGAGGCAGCCTACTTTAGCCAGAAGTCTTGTGACAGTAAATTTGGGCTCATGTCAAGAAAAAAAGAGCTTGAAAACATAGTTCCAATATAAATCACTATTATTTGAGTTTTCTGAAGTTTAGATGAAACATACAATAAAAAAAGGTTAAACTAAGCAATCCTAAACTTTAGAATGCAAATTTTTCCTAATCATATGTTGGAGAGGGCAACAGTGAACACTTTCTTCTGTTTGGTAATAAGATAATTTTATGGTAATTACACTTAAGATTTTATTTTTTTTCCTAGACAGAAATAGCTGTTTGCATAATGTGTTTGGTTTAGGCTGATTAAGCAAACATCATTAGCCTTGGACTGGGAAAACTTCATTCTTTTCCTCCTTTCCCCCCCTGTTTTCAGAGTAGTACTTAAAATGGTCTTTAATGCAAATGTATCTTAAATAGGTTTGCAATGTGTGCAAAATACTTATTTTATGGTAGGTACAAAGTAAGGTGTCACCAGCTCTACAAGTTCTAAGAGAATGTTTACTGTGCTATCAATGACTATGTCAAAAATTATTTTAAAAGTACAAGGTAAGTATTGCACAAGATAAGGATTATTCTTCTATATAGATTTAAATAAAAGTAGTTAAATAAATATAGTTTTTTACTTTTTAAAAAATAATTGTTCCAGAATTGTCATTTATAGTATGACTCTTTCCTCATGCAGCTGTATTTCAGTGGGATTTTTTCGCGTGTATGGGAATCATTAATGCTAAACTGAAGCAAGACAATAAAATTCTAGCTGTAAGAGCCTGAAGGGGGCGGGGGGTGGGGGGTGGGGGTGGAACCCAGACACTTTATATTAGTTAATAACTTGCAGTCTTTTTATTTTTTTTTTTAACATGACTTTTTTAATGTAAGAAAAATCATGTAATGACTTTTAACTTCTGTGAAATGTCCAACCATGTTAAATATGGAATGCATTGGAGAAAATACTTTAAGGTGCTTAGAATAAATAACTTTATATAGGGACGACAAAACTCTCTTGTGTAGATACAGTATGTCAAGAAAGTCAAGCAAAACACAAGAAAAAACATGTTAGAGTGTTCTTTTCCCTTTTGTTCTTTATGTCTGATCATTCTTCAAAGACTTATTACCAAGAAAAATATAGGATACAGTATGACACTTAGATTTCTTTCTCTATTTCTTCCTCCCCCTCCACCTTGTGATCATGTGTATGGTCACAAGCATGGAATATATTGGTGCATCTGAGAGAATGCCCTAGCCTGTTAAACACAGATCACAGAGTATGTGAATTTACAAATCATGAATGAGTTGCTATGCCCATAAATTATAAGTCTTTAACACAGAAAAAGAAGCTTAGCTTTTCTTGATTTAAAATCTGTGCATTTGGAGTTTCTGTAGCAGATACTTAGCTCATCTTAGTGAAGTGTTGTCCAGAATCATACTGTCAATTTTAATGGATTTTTTCATGTGCCATGGAATTGCTTTAATCACAAATATTTTATTACAATTTTGCTTTGTTTTTAGGGTGATAGGCCTTCCTGATGCCCTTCATCTGGTATGTTCTCATGCATTTTTTTGTCACCTCTCCCTCTGCCAAATATAAAATATTGGGAAGCTTGTTAATTCTGTAGGGTAATAATCTTGCAAAGGTCTGTATCATTCTGTATACTGGCCATAATGTGGTTCACTGTATGTTACTCAGTATGTATCATTTTAAGGATTTTAAAAAGGGCTAACAAGAATTTGATGCAAATGGTGATTGAAAATAATTCAGAACTGAGTATCTCGCTCAGGCCTGTGAAAATTTTGGGCTGTGTACCAACTCTTTGGTGTTTGCAGTGAAGGACTTCAAAACAGAAAGAATCTTATCCTGGAAAGTCCTTAACGATATAGGTAGCTATATGCAAAAGTCCTGCTGACATTGAGGGGCTGTTCACTGAAGTTAAGTAAATGTATTTGAGGAGTTTGAGAGACTCGTGGACAGATGGTCCTATCCCAGCGGTGGGGGGTGCCAGCACAGTCGTGCTGTCTTCTGTTGAAGTCAGAGAGAGAGCATACAAACGCACAGAGCTGTGGAAACCAATCTCTAAGTGCAAGCCAGATCTGCTGTAAACAGTCTAATATTTGTAGATAACATTATTTACCAAATATTATTATTTTTGGCTTAAGAGTGATGTTGACATATTTTAAGGAATAATAGTAGCTATGTGTTGCAGAGCCAGCAGGAGTACAAAAACATGCTGCCTGAGTGCAGGTCGGGAGATCGCCTTGGTTTTGCTTTTCCTCAGTGTATGGTTATATTAGGATATATATTTGTTTGATTTTTTCCAAAAAAGGTATCTAGGATAATATTATTGCTCTTAAAGTTTGTACTTGGTAGGTATTTATTTGTAACTTGGTAACTCTTAAATTATGCTGAATATAATGTTTAGCAGCTTTATACTTACTATATGCTTCAGGCTTATCATTTAATATGTATATTTCTAGTAATGTGGCATACTTAATTTTTTCCCTATTTCTTTATCTGGATATTAGGATGGTCAAGAATTGATTCACTTAGCTCTAGTATGTTTGCATAATTGTCTTCCTGCTGTCTTTTTGCGTAGACCAGCTTGGTGAACTTGACTGCATTTCTCACTCTGCATATTCTGTTTGCAGGAAGGAGAGGACGAGGGGCTCAAGTCAAGTGAGGATTTCTTGACAGCTGCATAAGGGATTATTACAAAGTTGCATCACATGTATTCTTCCTAAGTCTTCTCTATCCGTCTGCCCCTAATCTGATTTTAAGTCTGGGCTAGTAGGCATGGTTGAGGGTGTAGATTGGAACATGGGTTTGGCTTCAATCTTAACTGGCAGTACTCCCACCTTGCTGTAAGAAAACAGGCTAATCAAACCTGCATGCATGTATTTTAACAATACTATCTCGCTGTTCTACCCGGTCTGTACTTTTCTTTGTAATTCCTTGCTGCTTTTTTGTAGTGTAAGTGGCTCAGTCTGACTCAAATTGTAACCTGCTTAGTTTCTTCTGAGTTTCCATAATATGTGAATAGACATGTCAACCAAGAAAGTGTACTTTGATATTTTTTTGGTTTGTAGACTATATTCTTTAGTGTTGTTAAAGGTTCCTGCTCCAAATTGCTTTGTCTTTAGATTGCTTCACTTGGAATAAAATACTGTTCTGTCATGTCACAAGCAGCACCTTTATGGTAAATCAGAGAGAGAAGTGTGTTCCTGAGAAACTGGCTACTGAAATTCCTTAGTTTAGTTCATGTTTGGAACCATATGCTATCCTAATGCAAGGGCTAGTTCAGCATCATAATAAACCATGTTGGATGTTTCAGATGCCAGCTGGATGTTCAAATAGAGATGCTCTCTGGATTTGGCTAACTGCAACAATTATTGTTCTCTTTTTTATTAACATTTTTCAAAATCTTGATTTAATTGTTGAATAATTCATCTTACTGTTTGGCTTATGTGGATAAAAGTAGAGGAATGAATGTGAATAATTTCCAGCCCAGTAAAAATTCTACTAAATTGTTTTGTTCTTTTTTATTAAAAAAGCAGGGTTTTAAATTTCTTTTTAAACACAGTAAAACTTAGATTTTTCACTGAAGTATATTTGTTGCTTTGGTTTAGTCTGTCAGCAGCTAGTCCTCTATCTTCTAATACTTGCAGAATTTTCAGTTTATGTTCTTGTTTACCAAAACCAGAACTTCTTTCAAGGGAACTATAAATGTTTTAATGTGTGGATTTTTTTTTTTTTTGAGTGGTCTGTGGCAGATGTTGTTGCCATCATTGGCTCCAAGAAATAAGTTAGATTATTGTGTGTTTTGACTTCTGTGTTTGCAAGCAGCTTTCATTTTAAAAAAAAAAAGAAGAAAAAAGTAAATAATTTGTTTTCCTGTTATAGTCATTTGTTCCTGGAAGATGCAAAAGATGAGTGGCTTCATAAAACAGTGTTGACCAGTTCAGCCGTTAACAATATTATCTTTAAATAGTTTTAAATTTTTTTTTTTAGTATCTGTCTGTAGAAAATTATCATAGTAAAGCTACATATCCTGCAGGTGAGCTCTGGAAAAAGATTATTCTTATTCCGATGGACACAGTTTCAGCTGACATAAATCAGATAGGTAAGTGTGTGTGATGGTTAGGACTGCACTTTGACAAAATAATAATTAGGTTGGTGCGTGGTTCACATTAGTGCTATAGGTTTGGATCCAGAATTACTTAGGTAGGCAGGAGACACTGTATCCAATTCCATAAAGGCAGAGTAAAGAGTAGTGAGCTGTAGGTCGGGTAAGTTGTTGTGTGGAGTTCCGTTTTGGATGTTGACGTTGTTGCTGCTGCTGTTATCCATCTGGCAGTGAGAAGGGAAACACTGGGAAGACGTTGGGGATGATGAAATGAGAACTAAGGGATCCACAGCTAGGCTGTCATCTTTCAGCTCCTCCCAAAGATTTCCTATAACAAAACAAAATGGATTGATTCGACTTTCTTTATATATGCTTTTTGAAACATTGTTTTATGGGAGAAGTCATAATTATACAGTAGTGTATGTGTAGGTACTCTTAATCACTTGTGATTGAGAAAGGAAAAAGATTGTTTAGATAGTTATTATTTGTCTGCATAATAAATTAAAATCTGGGAGAAAGCAGCATTAATTTAACAAAATTATTTTACTTGATAATTGGCAAGATTCTGTTGCAAATGTATCCTTATGAAGCGTAATTTCTATTTGAAAAAAACCCCCGACTAATTTTGACAGGGGAAATTGCCTCTGTTATTTTTATAAGATGTAAAATGCCATTAGCTCTTCCATGAGACAAATCTGCAAATATTGCTCCACAACTGGACTTCTTGTATTCTTATGGTGTAGTGTTGTCTGAATTGCAAACTAAATTACTGGATATGTGATTGACCTGACAAATCAAAAGATCTGAAATATTACTTTTTTCTGACATGTACCAAAAAGTTTGGTGGCAGGGAGACTGTTGCTCCAATGCTATACCCACCATCTGCAGACTATCTAATGGGATAATACTTAGCCCTTTTGATTTTTCTAATTTTTTTAATTTTTTTTTTTTTAATGTATGTGTGTATATAATGATTTTGCTCCAAGTATGCAGGCCTTGTCTTAAGTTCTAGGACCTCTGATTTGAGATTTGGTAATTTTAGAAAGAAAGAAAGTAAAAAGCCTAGATAAGGTTAAATAATTTAAGGTAAAGGGCAAGGACAGAGTGAAACTGGAATCGTACCATATTGGTGAAGTATACAGAGTATTCACAGCACAAATGAGCATGCTCCAGATTAACTGAATAAAATGGAAAGAGGTTAAGAGAAATGAATGGAATGTGAGCTCTGGCTGCCTGAAAGAGAAAGAAGCTGAGGATTCAAGAAACTGTGTTGTTTATATTAGTAAAACAATCTGGGCATGGCAGGATTGCTGATTATTTGTGATAGTACAATGGCAAGGCAATTGCATTCATCGAGTTGTGTAGATTATTAAGACTGCATTTTTTTCTCTTTTAGGTTGCCTTGTGCACCACTTTTTGTCTGTGCAGGAAGGCAATTCTTGCATATTATTTAGTGCAGCAAGAGCTTTATCATTTGGAACCCACAGGTTTTGTTTTATATGTATACATATATAAATATACACACACACACACACACACTCTTAAACTTGGTGGGGTTTTTTTTTCTTATTTTTGCATGGAAAACTGTGTTGAAAATCCTGTCAGTTCAAGATGATTAAATTATTTAATATCAGGAACTTTACTGTCAGAATTACATGACTAAGTATTTAAGAACACACCCTAGAAAATATAATTGTTTGTAGATCATATGAATGCCTTGTGAAGGAGTAAATAGCATTCTTTTGAGCAAAGATGTGGAAGGTGTTTGAATAAATATTGATAAAGAAAAATGTTAACATGTTAATTCAATCAAAATTATTTCTTTTTGTGCTCCTTATATGACAACTCTCTTGCTATGCACCAAATAGTTGTGCTTGAGCAGTTTTCAGTGGAAAATATGTCGAAGTTTAAAAAATACATTGTAAATACTGTCTTGCAGTATTTAATATCAGCAGTCGTAGTCAAGAGTAAGCAGGGTCTTTTTAAACTCTGGATCTAAATCTTTAGTTTTCTTGGGAAACTTTTTAAAGATACAATGCAAAATTCCATGTTGTGCAAAATAATGTAACCTAGTAAGCTGGTCTTTGTAGCACTGGCAAGGACAAGTAGTTAAAAAAGAAGGACATAAATGCATCTTATGCCATTTGGGATGTGGTGTAATAAGGCTGAGTCTACAAAATAAAAATGCCTTCGATACCTACCTTGGAGATCAAAATCAGTCAGGGATGGATTAAGAGCATCGATATCATTGCTGAGATCTCCTTCCTGCATGAGCGTGTCCTGCATTGTCCTCGCTGTAGAGTGCTCTGTCAGCATCTTCACACCACACATGGGGGGGGTCTGAGCCGGCAGTGGAGAATCCTGGGTGATGCTGGGCTGAGTTCTGAGTTCACTTTGAGCGTCCCCAGAAGGAAACAGGGTCTGAGGATCAGGTGACTGTTGCATTAATGTACTTGAGATTTGAGGAAAACCCTGTGGTGATGTATAGCACGCAGTCTGTTGGCCCCCGAGCAAATTTGGTAATGGACTCTTGACATGTAGAGCTCCTGATGCGTGGATACTATGTAATGGCTGTGGTATACCGGAGGAAAGAGAGGGCTCGCATAAGGAATGGGATTGGACTGCCATCTGTCTGGAAAGGGATGCACTTGCAACACCAGTCGGACTGCAGGACATGATTGAAGATCTCAGCTTTTCACTTTTGTCGCCTATCAGTGTGTCAAGTTCTTCTACAAAACAAGAAAAAAGTCCATGACTTACTTATTCCTAACAGAGCCTTAATCTTCATAGCTTGCAGCTAGAATTTTAGTGTTCCTCAGGAAATGTGTGAGTGGAATGGCAAACAAAAGTGCTAGCCCATATACGATAAGAACTCCAAAAGCCTGAAATGTCTTTCTAAATTATCAGTGCCAAGTGAGTACTTAATAAATTGCATTTTTGTGTTTAATGGTTGGATATTTATCAGTTAATTTCAGATTTTATTCTGTAGTACTTATTCAGTGTTGTTTTTATCTTAAAGTTTAGTGAGTTGTCAAGAGAGAATGTTTTCTTGATGGAGCTTCTTTGTACCTATTTGAAAACACTCCTGCAAAACCAGGTCTTATTTAATTCTGCTTTTTATTGATTTTTTTTTATTGTTTTGCCAATACCTTTATAACCAGTAAAAATTCTTAAATGCTTTCCTAAATCATGTATAAATTCTTTTATACAGCTTGGTCCCTATTGCAAAGAAAAGTTCTGGGGACCGCTGTCTGAGATCTAATGCACTAACATATTACTGACCTGGCTTTGCCATACTCTTCCTTACAGCAACTGGGTCTTTCCTCTTCCATTTCTGAAGCTCCTCCTGCATCTTATCAATTTTGGCTGGATTCAGAGCCCACAAACAGCCTTTCCGAGAAGAATTGCCTGACTTGTTCTCAACTTTCTCAAAGCATTTGTTCAAAGATAAGTTGTGGCGTACAGAATTCTTCCAGCCATCTGGAGCTGTCTGGAAAAACAAATCCAGTCTAAGAATGGCACTTCAAGGAAAAAAAAATACAAATATATTTCTCTGTTTTGACTGTTAAGATTATAAGAAATGCTGTTTAGATTATACTTTCTAAAATATGAAACTTGTATGTTAGAAGGAAGCCACAAAAATGTTACAGTCGTGTTGTGCGGGAAGAGAGGAATCAGATAAAATAGTAACCGATCTTCTAAGCAAGAAGGTTGGCCTTGTCAGAGGTGCTGCTGAATTTTTAAGACTGAGTTTGCAAATCACAAGAATTAAGTGTGTAAAGACTTATATTCTAGAACTGTGAACTAACAGGAAATCTATCTTTATCTATTTTGGAACACCTAGAAAAAATTCAAACACTTAATTGAAGGACTACGTGCTACTTGGACTCAAATTAAGTGTCCAGGCAGACTTCAAAAGAATTTTAGCATGCTGCTGTAGGTGTAACTTTGTATGCTAGCCAATTATATAACCAAATGGTTTAATCACAAGCCCTACAGATGAGATACAGGTTTCTACATCTGATCACTGCATCTTTTTGCTTTGCATTTATTTTTAACTCAGTAGTGGAAGCTGGCAGGTTCTTTCAAACTGAACAATACATATAAGCTTCATTAAAATGATTCCTCTATTTTATTTAGGCTGTTTCTGATCAATGAGGGAAACAAAATTCCCTCCTTCCCCTGAAGACAGTTTCGCATCCAACTGCAAGAATGGAAAGAGAAGAAAACCTGGTGCAAACTCTCTCTTTATACAATTTAATTTTTACAATTTTTTTTTCCTGATTGCTTGTAGAAGAACTTTGAAAATGAATATTGCTCTAGAGGATGAAGAGGGAAATACCCAGCAAAACAGTCATGCTCAGATTCTGATGGGATATGCCTGTTTCCTTGCCAGTCTGAAATACTGATCTTGAAGAAATGGCACTGTATCCTTTCATTGCATATAAGTCTTTCTGGTGTTTGTTTATTTGATTTCACTCATTTCTGCTTACTTAGTCATGTAGCCGGAAGATACTGCCCATCACATTAAGGCTTTGTAAATTAGTATGCACGTTCATATCAGAAGATTCCTATAGTAAATTCCTGATGTGTCGCCTCCTTGCTTTCCTTTTAGTTAAGTACTGTACAATGCTGTTTCTTACATATCTGAGTAGAACTGTCTTAGCTCATTGCCACTGCACTATAATCTTAAAAAAAAAAAAAAAAAAAAAAGAGCAGGAAAAATGACTTGCTACATAATGGCAGGAATCAATCGGAGAAACCCAACTTCATTGTAATAGATGTAACTGCTAGTCCAGCTAGACTTCCCCTGTCATTATAAGACCAGTTAAAAAACAAAAAATTGTAGCTTTACCTGTGTCAGTCAAATGATATTCTTTCCAAAAGGTCTGCATTTGCAGAGATGAGAAATCTCAAGAGAGAGAGAGACTTTAGAGCTCATCGGATTACAATGAATGATCTTCAGTACTAGTGTATGTGAGGCCTTTTTTCTTTTTTTTTAAATCAATTTTGGATGCTTTTTCTTTTCTTGTTTCCAAAAAATCCTCATCTGTGTGTCATAAGAATTAAAAGAAATTAAGCAACTCTCTGAAAGGTACGTGAAGTTGTCTATGTGCCACTATTGATTCATATTCATGGGTGCAAAATATTTGTTGTCACAATTGTTTATAACAACCACAGAGAATTATTGAACAGAGAGCACAAGAAATAAATATGATTTTCCATAGCCTTTTTAAAGAGGTTAAAAATTAAAATTTCCCTTTTATGTGCATTAAGTTTCCTTTCCATTTTTATGTTTTATTAATAGGGATCCTTCTCTCATAGAAAGCCAGCTTTTTGATAGTTTCTCTAATTGTTGCCTAGTGTAACAGATTTCCTCTAAGACCACCTTTTATAAATGGACTTTTCTCCATTTTTGCTTTCATATGATACGCCATTAATTTTTGAACATACTTTGACAGAAATTCTACTTTTATCAGGAATGTAAAATCTCTTTTTTCCTAGCTTGTGAAGGCCTGTCTTGTGGGTTAAGGTGTTAAAAGCCTTACTGAAGAATTTGAGGGTCAAATTTAATACTTGCTTTCTTCATTAAAAAAATAATTAGCTGTGGAAATTAAATACATGGTATTTACTGAAAAAGAAACTATTTTCCTTTCATAGCAGCACAGTTTCTACCCTTTTGGCCCACCTGATGTCAGCATTTCACTATTCTGTTAGCCAGTCCCATAGGTGAGACAATGTGCATTTCTATTTTAGAAACAAACAACCCCTTTAAAACTCTTTCTGCCATAGGGTAATACTAAAGATGATGAATCAGTTTTTCTCCCTTGCAGATCATATTCAAGTTTCTTTCTGGCAGTTCCAAAAGTAAATAAAACTGTTCCTCCTAGGTAAGATGTGTACTTAGCTACTGAATAAGCTGACCTGAAAGAATATTCATGGTTCTTGCCCTGCACATGAGGCTACATATACCTCTGCCTGTATCTAGACAGGATAATTAGTGTTTCTGCTAAGCACCAGAGAAGATGGGAGTGGCATGTGTTTCTCAGAGGTTTTCAGAATGTGTGGGGGTGTAAACTATGATGTAGTTTTAGAGACGTAGAGACATGGATTTATTCTGGAGACTGCTGCCAAGAGTTGAACAGGTTCTTGCATTACACTTGGTATTGCTGAGCAGCGGAAAAATAGTCGTTTACCTAGGTAGGCCCTGAAGGAACACTCCAGCAGTATGTTCATGTTACAACTGTCACCAGTTTTTTAAGTTAGCATTTGATTGTCTGTTAATGAACTGAGCTTTGGCTACTGAAGTTGCTCTCGTGTAGTTGGAATCTCCTTGCTGTGGCTCGTTTCTGCCATTGCTGCATTCTGCATAGTGTGAATGAAGCTGTGTGGAGTTGGACACTGCAAGAGAATGCTTGCTGGTATGAGTTCCGTCAGACCACAGACCTTTCTAACCTCTTGGACCACTGGCAATAACTCCAATTAACAAGATTAAAGCTTTCTGTTAGACTCACTAATCACTACAAAGAAGAAAAAGGATGACAAGCAAAAAATATTATTGTACAGACCCATTGATCCTGACCGCCTCTTGAAGTTTAAAGAGTTCAGTGATCTTGCAAAACCCTTTCTCTTTAAATCTAGGTCTCAAAAGAAGGGAGAGGTACATCAAAGAGTAATTCAACTTTAGCTGCGTAGATGTTTTTTTTAGGACGTAGGAGTTGGATTGCTCTGTTTCAACTAGAAATGAGATTGTTGCATCATAGAAACTAAATTTGCTGTGGCAGCGAATACAGGTTAATTTGACTAGGCTTGTATCATCCAATGTCTCCCAGCAAGATTCTGTGTACACTTGTACTCTGTTTCTCTCCAACTTAAATTGCTTCCCCTCCCCCTGTTGTATCCTGCTATTTAGTGAGTTCTGGTAGCAACAACAAAATGTTCTTTGCCGATTTTTATGTTACTTTATCTTGCTGAAGACTCTCCAGAAAAGGGAGGATAGAGGATATTAGCTTTTGCCATATATTGATAATTCTGTGGGCTGCTGTAAAAACCAGAAGTAGACAGGGCTTAGTGCCGTAACCATAATATTTGCTTGCTTATTCTCCCCTGCTTATTTTAAGGATGTTTGGGATGGAACTAGTCAATCATTTGACTGTATTTGTAAGTAAAATGCAAAAATAAAGCCATCACAAAATAGTGAATGTTCCAGTAGTACCCCCTGTACCATTCTTTTCCTATAATGCATATGATGGCAGTAACCTTATTTTCATCAATTTTTAAATGAATTAAGAAAAAGACATGATGATCTGCAGAAAAAAACCCAAACAAAACCATACCACCAAAACCCCCTACCTGTGGAACAGGCAAGTTTTGATAAGTAAGAAGGGAAAAGTTTAGATTAGGTATAAAACAGTTATTTAAAGCTGTGGTAGAAATGTACCTACTGTACAGATGAGCATATGTATACACACGTCTCTATGTATACACACAGACAGACATAGGAACACACACCTATCTATACACATTTACATGCAAAATATCACAGTATATACAAGACACAATATTTACACACAATATATAGTTGAGGAAATGATGTATATCTCCCTGATGTTTATGCTGTGTCAGAATAACTTTAACTTCAGGACCAGGAAGGTGACACCTGATAGAGCCACAGTCTTGTGTCTGAGGAATTCTGTGCGTGTTGGCAGCAGCAGCATTTGGTTTGCAAGCTGCCAATTAATTTTATAATCAATTGTGTTGTAAGACAAAGGAGAATTAATTTCAGTTTGGTCTGATGAATAAACGTGGGCATGCCTGTAAAACTTATTTTTGATATTCCCACCTCTGCTTGAAACTTGTGCTATTTTTCCAGAAAACAGTAAGAATGTATTACTTTGCTGTAGATCACATGATTTGTGCATTATGCTAAGAAGCATAGTTCTGCAAAGTATCAATTTCAAGATGTTGTGACCCAGGACCTTTTTCACAATTCTCAAACTATTTTCCTTTGGATTATTAATATTTCTTGCAATTAGTGGTAAATGCATGGAAAATAGAGTTAATCTTCTGTTAGGGACAAAATACAAATCTTGAAATTTATTCTTGTTTTGAAAATGAAAAAAAAATTACAGCTACTATGTTCTTGTCATGTGCCATTCTACCCTTCTTCCTTTCCCTATTTATATTAGTATCATTACTTAATTTCATGTGTGTTTAGCCTAAAAATCAGTTGTGTCTCTGTGACTTAACAAAGTTGGAGTGCTTCAGATTTGTTTCGGTGGATTAGGACCAGTCATGTTGTGATGGGATACTTCTTGAATTATGATGGTAGGTTTCTTTATTTTTTCTCCCTTCTCTTGCTTGTAACAAATAATAGAGTAGCTAGTGATTCCTTTGAGCTGAAATCTGGGAATACAGAAGTATAATGGATGCTAACATTCTTCCTTCATGATGTGTATTCTTTTTCTCTGATTACTGACATGTTCTATTTTTTTTTTTTTGGTGGGCATTATTTATCCTCAGTTAGTGTCCAAAACCATTGCCAAATTGTATTGGAACATTTATTTTTAGTTATTCTTAGTGTTCTTTTCTTAATACAAATGTTCGAATTGCCTTCCTGTAGCTGCTTTAAATTTGGTTTAATTGCTGCATGTTTATTTGCAATAAGAAACAGGACAGACTCATATTGCTTTATTTTCATTTTTGGGCCTTACTAACAGCTGCAGTCACCTCATCTGGACTTTTAGTGAGATGTTTTTGAAGAATCAGCAATAACGAAGCTCTGGGTTGAGCAGCAGTTGACGATTCTATTATAGCTCTTTTTAAAATCTTAACTGTAATCCTTCTGCTCTTGGATCATGTGCTGACTAATCTCTTTCCACTTGCATTCCAAGTGCAAGAAACCTTTCTCTTACAGCATGGATTTAAATTTCAATAGTATCTGCTGCAAACCATACACCCTTACCTTCACCAACATTACTGGGTAATTATGAGCTTAGTACCATTTATCACATATTATACTTTCCTTTGTAGAGTGCATGCAACTGATGGAGTTGCCTAAGATGGATATCCCAGCTCCAGAACAGAGCAAGATAACCTTGAACCTCTGCTTCCACTTGAGTCTGGAGGTGCTATTGATGTCAGAGGAAGCCACAAGACCAGTTCTGCCTGTATTTGAGATCTGAGAGGAAGGAATGGATGTGTTTTTAAAAATATTTATCCTTTTTATGAGTTCTTAGTGAGGAATGGCCACTGTTAGCTGCACCAACTCAAAGTTGGAACAGTTCTTAATATCTTTTTTGTGTTAAATATTACCACATATCATGTTCACATTTCTGCCTAGGCCTAAAAGGCTGGGTAGTTTGTGATCATGAAGGTATATAGCATTTAATTGATTTGATATTAATCTACTAAGAAATTATCCTTTTTCATAGATTGAATCCCCTCCCTTATTCCCTCTGCTGCCAGGTAAGCTTAGAGAGAGATTCCCCCCCTCCCTGTGGAACTCACCTTAAAGTAAGGAAAGTGTTCCGTCATGAAATTGTAGATCTCACTGACTGGCAAACTCCCTGTCTTGCTGTTTTTGAGTGCCATGAAGATCAGGATGCTGTAGGGAGAGAAAGAAAAGTATTTTAGCCTGTTCTGCTTCACTCCTCAGAAGCAGAAAGAAAGACTATTTTTCACAGTGCATGTAATTACTCTGGCTTTCACTGTCATAGCATGAATACCAATGATGCTTAAAGTTTCCACTCAGTTGTTTATAAGCAAGCTCCTTACACTGCCTAACTTCTAGAGGTAGTTCTCAAAGCGCATATAGAAGGTCCAACCTGGGTTTAAAATAAAGTAATAGAAAGTGGAATCAAGACCACAGCCTTCAAATCCTGCTAGTGTGTATTTATTTAAGGTTGTGTTTGAATGCTTAGACTGATAAAGGCCACAAAGAGAATACCAAACTGACAGTGACAGAAGGTATAATTAAAATTTAATTTTCTGATCTGCTTTGTTAGACTGCTATTTGGGGGCTAAACCTGTGTGGTGACTGGCATATCTGATAGGTTTTCTAGGCATTTCCTTGCCCTAGTAACTGGAGAAAAAATTAGTTTTAATACAGGTCCTGGAAAGACAACTAAGTGTGATTAGTCTTGTGCTGATGAAATTTGCAACACCTAAGATTTTGTATTAGAGAAATGTCTAGCTTTTGCGGGGGTGATCAAGACTGTTCACACGCTTTACAACATTTCATTTCCCTCTGCCTTGGCCCCAGAGTCTGGAACATCTTGTGATTCATACAAACAGGACAGAGCACACTCAGAACAAGACAAATAAGAGTAAGCATGTTATTGCAAATGATGCTGGAAATAGGCCATGGGTAAACAGTGTATTTCCTGTAACATTAGGACTTGAAAAAATATTTTATTACCTGTAGGAGTAGATGGGTTTGGGAAATAGAGGCTGCTGGGATTCTTGACTGCTTTGAGGAGCAATTCTTTGGTAAGGGTAGTGTGAAGAAGTAATATAAGTCACAGGATAGCTGCCTCCTGAGGGATACTGATGATACAATAAAAGAGATGTTACTTGACTTAGCAACAAGCTCTCAAAAATATTTCTTTCTTAGTAACAGTATTAAAGTATTAAGTTCTGAGAATATTGTCCTCTGCCTACATGTAATAGCTGTTATGCCAAGTCAGACCTAAAGTCTTTCTAGGATGGCATTGGAAAACATTAATATTACTAGCTAATGTTTAAGAAGTAGAGGAAAAGGGGCATGTATGAGGAGGAACTTACTGATGTGTTGGCTGTTACCAGATCCTGTTGCAGTGTGTTCCAAACTGAAGTATGTAAAAAAAGTGCTTTCTTTTATTATTGCCTGCTATGCTACTGAGTTCTTGTGAAAAATGGGAGTAACTGTACCCTATTAATTGTCTCCAGATAAGTCATAATTTTATAGACCTAAAGCATACCTCCCTTCAGCCATCTCTTTTGCAGTTGAAGTATCTTAGCCTGCTCAGCCTCCCCTGAACATTGCATTATGCAGATAAGTAAGTGAATGGTGTAATTTTATTTATATAAATAATAACCCCCCTGCCCCCCCAAATACAGTACTTCAAACAATGTGCACCACAGAAAAATAAGCCTATTAAGTAAAGCCACTAAAAATATAGGAAGAAACAGGGAAGTTTTGACTAAGCCTTGTTTGGGTTTGTATGATTTTTTTTGGTTTTTTTAGGTGGAGAGGGATACAAAAAAGCAAGAATTCAAAGTGTATAAAATCTACTCCCAGGACAATAGCAACCCAAAGCAACCATTCAATATGCTGTTATTAGGCAAGGCAGTTAAAAACCCAAACAACAAAGAAAGCTTTAGTGGACAAATGGCATCAGAATATATATAAAGTGAATGTATTATTTTAGAATAAATTAGCCATGTCATTCCAGGGATCAGGAGAGTGGCATATCAGGCATTTCTCATAGGTGGTTTTCATATTGCCTGACTTGTGCTGAAGCTGTGAGGCTACTCTGTGTAGGTTCCCTCATAGTCAATGACAAGAAACAGGCTTCTCCAAGAGGCTGTAGGTTTAAGTGCTGTTAACCACCACCTCAAGCAGCTTCTTTTCCCCCCCATTTTCTATATCAGAAAGCTAAAAAGAATAGCCAGGGCACCTAAAATCAGATAGCATTTATGTTATCCTCACCCCACCCCTAGGGACAAGCAGCAGAGTGCTACCTGAGACTGAAATGCTAAGGTATCTCTTGAAGAGCTCTCTAAGCCTGTCCAGCTCTCAAGACATACTAAATAAGTGGCTGGTCTATCATGCGATCACCAAGATAGAAAAATGCCAATGCAAAAAAATAGGTGAAAGAGGGGAGATAATACATATAGATAGCCTTGATTACTTCAGAGTTTCTGTAGGTTTGCTCTCGATTTTTTAACACAGCAGTTGGTCACATAATTTTCTTTTCCAAATTACAGTTTAAACCTGCTGGCAAGCAACTTTCAAGAACAAAGAAACACTGCCCTGCTAAAGTTAGATACCATCAGTTGGCTCTCTGTGAGGCAAAGGCTCCCACTGAACTCAGAGCTCAGTGTGAGAGGAATTTCTGCCTCTTACAGATGAATCTTTCCAGATGCCAGTGCTAGGGCATGGCCAAAATTAGGAATCATGTCATATGCTATTAAAAAATCTACCTGCATGCCTTCCTTAGTACTCAAAGGTTGCTGAGCCCTGTTCTAGTGTTTTACTGCTTAGCTCTAGAAGTCCTGTGTCATGAGGTTTCTATGGTTCCTCTGAAAGATTATAGTGTAGCTTTCGAGCCTTGTTGAGAAAATTTCCTTGGTAATTAGTTTATACATCTTCTTAGTTTCTTACTGTCATTCCTATTTTTGGACCAGTAGCTTCTGTTGCTCTTGGTCTTTGTCCCCATAAAATGCCTGTGAGAGGTTATCACATGCTTGCAAAATGTTCATAGTTTATTTATTTATTCTGGATTCTGAATAATTTATTTCAGTTTCTCAGTAATTTTATTGTTGTTGCTTGAGTTTTTGCCTGTTTGCTTTTATCTTTCTAACATTGAACTGCCTGAAATGGAATGTGGAAAAACATACTGAGTACACTAATTTGTTTGCTACAGTAAGCAGGGTGAAAGAAATGAGATGTACATAATTAATCATGTCCTGCCTTGTTAAACTAAATACTGGGCAGAACTACAGTCTCCAGAGCAGCCATGAACTCATTTCCGTGTGCAGTTCTGTGCTGTCTGCTTTGTTGCATTGTGTGTAGATTTTTTCACCAGAGTAGAAAACTGGGCAGTTCATGCAATAATTTTGATTTTATTGGTTTTAGTGGCTCTTTGAAAGGAAAGAATACTAAGATGGGACTGGTTGTGATGTCATCACCAAAGGCAAGAACTGGGCGTTTTAAGGATTATTTCTGTTTTATTGGTTTCATTACTCCTTTTTGAGGGAACAGAGGCTGGGGAATGGTCTGGTATGACAGGCTTGAGCTGGTTTTACAGTCGCACAACTGGCATGAAAGGTGTCCGTGTTTTATGGTGGGTGGGTAAGTGACTTCAGTAAGTGTCTCCTATTTCTTTCAGGTCAATAAGAAGTAATTTTTCTTATGAGTCATCATTTCTGTTGTGTCCAGCAAAGGGGAAGGTGAGGCCATTTTATCATCTGGACAAAATTAACGAAGGAGTTGATCTCTCTCATCCCTCTAATGAAAAGTGAGGCGTAGCTTGAACATCCTTCACTTCAGGCTAAAGGGCCCGTTCTCTTGAGTGTAACTTCCTAGTGATTTAAATTGCACTGCTCCATTCAAGTTTGAAATGCTAAGTATTAATACTGGAGCTGCTTCATGCAAAAGATGTTATTCCACTTCTTCTCAGTCTTGTATCACATGTTCTTTCATTTCCCAGTATCTGATTATGGCACACGGGCAGCAATTCTACCTGTTACGACTTTGGCTGCTTATAACCATTGTTTTTTTCCTCTGAGTAGTAGAACATGTTGCCATACTTTTACTGTAGTAATGTTAAGAAGCACAATATTGAAAAGTCTAACAGAAACCTGCTGCATGTAAGAGATCTGTCACAGTGCCAGCCTGCAGGTGGATGGAAGACTTTCCTCTTAGTGCTTGTTGTGTCTTGCCTAGCAACTCCCAGAAGGTGTATTTCAGCTTTGATTTTGTAGGTTTTTTGAATGTGGTTAATGGCAATGTATAGTAATAGTACTGGTATCAAATCAGCAGTGATAGGGGGAAGGTGCCTGCTTCAGAATGAATAAAGATATTAAAAAATATTTAAATGAATTAACAAGCTAACTGGAGTTTCTGCTAAAGCAACGCACAAACCTGACATTTATACTGTGTGTGAGATGTATGGCACATCCACAATGTCTGTACTGCAGTCCCAGTGGGGAACTAGTTTATATTTGCAGCAGAGCTTTTGTGGCAAGTTAATCCTTCATCTGGAACCCTTTTCTTCTAAAATAACAATAATAAAATCAATCAATTTGTAAATTAGGATGGTAGTGTAATATCACCCTTCTTTTTATTCTAGTTAAATTTTATTATTACCTTTTATCACTTCTATTGAGTTTTAGGCTAACAAGAAAAAACAAGTAAATTAATTTTGCTGGTGTTGATAAGAACTTAAAAGATAGTTACCTTTTTGCCACATTATAGTGGGGGAAAAAAAAGGTTCAGTAAATAGGTAAAAGAAAAAGCCAGGAGTGAGATTATTCTTTAGCCATATTTCCTGACTTGATTTAAGAGAACTGCTTCATTCTGTTATCTATGCCTTCTCACATCTATTTAGCATCTGTACACTTCTCAAGCTTTACAAGGCTATGCACTAAGGACAGTGGATGCAAAAAGCCCGTGGTATTGAAACTATGTGAACTTCAGTAGTACCTGGATGCCCTAAGCAAATTGGTCTGTCCTTGCACAATACCTAGTTGGAGAAGAACCTCTGTGCCCCTGAGTTCCTAAGCTGATTTAAATACAAAGTCCAGTTAGTGGTCAGGGGCTGGCCGCAGCTGAGGGAGCAGGAAGAGAAAGATGACAGTAATAGGAAATTGATTTTAGAAGTTTACTTCATGCAAGTGTTGATACTTGAGGGTGCTTATTGAGCTGCCTTGCCACACCATCCTGTTGATCATTTTAACTGTCCCAGACACTAGAAGTTCAGAAAGGCTGTCAAGTCCCTGAAGCTCTCCAAATGCTTGATACAGTTAGTCCTTATTTTATTCCTCTCTATATCTGAGGAGTTATGTACTGTAATAATGAGACAACTTCCTTTAAGTTTCAGTAGACGAGTGGGGGATTTATAAGTATAAGAAATACACACTTAAAATATGAAAATCCACTACTGTGGTATGGAATACTTTCATTCCTCCTTAGTAATGTTTTACAAAACTCTAACAAATGAAATTCCTAAAAAGTCATCTGTGATGGATGATTTCATTTCATCAATGATAGTACAATTAGACATATGTCTATTCTTGTTCTTTATGGTCATTCACCATCTGTTTTCAGAAGTTACTTAAATTTCCTATTAAAGAAAGCAATGCCAAAAATAACCTTTCTTTTTCCTCGTGAGGGACTAAATCTTGATGATGAATGGTATGATTACTATTTCAATGACTCAGACTGGTAACACCATATGAATTAACAATCTCAATGAAATATACGGCAACCTGTTTTTTGTTCTCTTTGCACAGTTTTAGATCACTGCTCTGTTAGTCACATTTTTTTGTACTTCTTGAGCAAGTTGAATGGGATGGTACAGTTGATTCTACAATATCAGTCATCAGTCACTGCAATCAAAGGAGTCGTAACTCAGGTGTGAGCTTTTATGTTCAAATATTTTATATATATGAATTTCCTGTAAGTTTAACTTAATTCAGTTCTAATGGTTGGGAGTTCTCGTAGTTGTGCTATTTTTGTGTTTGGATTTCTGCCTATATATCTGAAAAATCCTCGTTGCTTTAATCTCACCTTAAATAAGTTCTGGGGTTTCATTTGTTTGTTTGTTTGTTTGTTTTTTAGATAGGGTGTTTCAAGCATATTTTTATCTCCTCAAATGTCTTTCTTACTGAAAATTTTGTACATTGCAGATAATTGAGCATAAAAGAGGAAAATTTCAATGCATTGAACAGCACCACCATTTATATGTAAAGGAAATTATTTAAAGACATTTCAGAGTCATGAAAATTACTTCTGTAATACACACCCTCCCTCTATGCCAAGTTTTCAAAGCTCAGTAGACCACACTCGCTAACCTCTATAAATATGTACTAGGATCACATGTAAGATTAAGGAATATATGTATGATTTTACAAAGATACTGTGTGTATACTGCTTTGAAAATATGAACTGACATGTATTCAAAAGACATCTATCTAAACACACTCAAGAAAAACAAGGTGTCAGTTACTCTTGTGCATTTTTAGTATTAATAATATGGTTACATTACGGAAGAACAACCTTAATATTGTGCATTCTCATGCATCATCAGCATTATTGTCAATTATGCTTCAGCTGAATAATCTTTCACTGGGGATGATGTAACAGTCAAAAGATTGCAAAAGAGATGTGTGTGCCATCAAGCACAAGGAAAGCAAGCATAATCTTGCTGTTAAAATTTTGCTTTAAACGTGTTTTTCTATGTTAGGTCTGAATTTTAAGTATACAGTTGCATCTATTTAATTTTTTATTCTGAATTTAAAGCACGGTTAATTCCCTGAGATCCTGAAATGCCAACAGTTATGTTAATAATTTATCTGGTTTCAAAACCAGTTTTCTTGGGCATAATGGTGAAAATATAAATAATCAGTACCAAGATTCCATTTTTACAAGTTTTTTTTACTTTTTCTTTTTTTTTTTCTGGATGACCATTTTAAAATGCATTTAGCTGTGGTTCTTTTAAGATCTCATTGTCATAAACAAAATGTACGTACACAAACATGGCCCCGCAAACACAAATTTAGCAGGTATTATTTCATCTGTCTTTTTGTATTATTACCATAACTACTATACCATTATAGTGCTAGAAATACAGGGGATTTTGGTCTACATATTATACTGACCTGATGGAAAGGATGTGAGGGGCAATACATCTGCTGCACTTGAGGCTGATAGCAATACAAACCAGGCTGCCCTTCCAGTGGGGATGTCCTAAGCTTGATGTCTGAATCCTGCTAGAAAATGTTTAAGGAAAGAGTTATTAGAGAAAACACCTCAATTTAAAATAGAGTAAATTCTGTTAGTTCTGATTTGTTTTTCATTATACTTACTACTTTTTTACACTTGATTCTGTCACAGTGTTACATAGAATTTGTTTCATATTCTAGTGGTACAAGAAGAAACATTGTTTCCTGCATTTGTATAATTACTACTTTAAAAAAGAAAATCCCAGTCCAAATTCCAGCAAAGAGCAATTCAGAAAATGTGTTTCTGTTTATCTTTTTTCCCTACATACACAAACTGCATACTCCAGCTTTCATTCCTGAGTTTGCACATGTGTCTCTGTCTCTCTCTCTTTTTCATACTCCTTGATTTTTATCTTGCAGACTGTCAGTACCTCAAGCTGACACTGACGTTTTGTCATTATGTAGAGGGTGAGGTCTAAAATGCACAGGAAGGAGGTGGCAGGGAAGAATCAAACTAGGCTGACTACTGAATTTGATCAAGATATAGGAAATGTAACAAGGATGTGATTTATTTCTGCAACCGTGGAAATAAACATAGAGAAGTTGATCAATTTCTCACAGATCTGCCCAGCTGCTAGTCCTGGATTCCATGTAGGGCTTGATTCTGTTAAGGGCTCAGACTCCTAGATGTTAAATATTGCTGTCTTTTAGTTAGAATGCTGAGTGTGCCATGCAGTGTGTGTGGTAACACTGTGCTTTAGAAGAGCAATTCAAACAAACTGCATGCTAAGCAGAGAGCTAGATAGAGCTCTAGCTGGTAATAAACAGTGCAGGGAATGATGTGTCTTAAGCAGCATCCTTATCTGTAGGTCTGGTGACTGACTTCAGGTTCCTTTGCCCACTTAACATTGATGGCTAGGATTTCTTTTCTGAGAGCTGATGTGATAGATATCTTATTATTTCAAGGAACTAGTAGCACTTATCCTTCTGCTTTAAAGCAAGGCCATAATGACCGTCTTTTATGGTATAGATTAATGTAGGGGTACATATTAGACTTGATTTGATATCCTGGCACCAAGCAAATCCAGTATTAATAAATGTCCATGCTATTTTGATGACCATAAGATGAAGTTTTTTGGAAATGTCAACCTGTCAGCAGCATGTAAGCTATGTAAGAGCTTTGAAGTTGCATGCTGACTGAACCAGTGGAGACATTAACAAGTAGCCAGCCTTTTCCTGAGTAGTCACACATACTTGGTAAAGGGTTCCTGCAGTGCTAGCTTTACATTCTCTACATCTCACAGCCCAGGGATTTGGGAAGAAAATGGGAATTTTTTTCATCAACTGCTTATAGTTTTTACATTAAACTCATCTGACCTAGATGAGTATTTATCCAGGAAATAAGAGATTTAGATCAATTTCCTCCTTAACCTGAATGGCTTCAATCCCCAGGTATGTACCCTGACAACATCCCTCCATTCCCTGGTAAATTGTCTTAATCCAATTAAGACTTTTTTTTTTTAACCCCTCTTTCTTTTGGTAACCCTTGAATTCTTTGCCTCACAGCAATTTAGAACCAGTGGTTAGGGCCCTCTCCTGGCAGATGTAGTCATTGTTTTTGTCTGCACTAGATTGTGAAGATATGCTTTACACTTTGGATCACAGCAGAGATATCTTGTGGAGATACTGGAGGGTAATTTACTTTGCTTTTCAGGGATCTCTATGCTGCCCTAAATAGGCAGTCACCTCTATCCAGTATGTGAATTAGCCCAGGTACCTTTACAGTGCACATACCATAAACAGATCTTATATTTAATATTAAGTAGTACTGATGTCTTAGAGTTGCTCTTTTATTTGCATCGAGAAAAATGCAGGTCAGCCGAGGTGTTGTGACAAATCAGATGCACATGTCCTCATGTTTGAAAAATACAGTTTTGTGAACTTTTGTCCCTTGAAAATACTAGTTGATGACAGCTACTGATATAAAACCTGCTGTCAGAAAGAATTTGGATATTTAGGATTCATGTATTGTGTCTAGTGGAAAATAATTTGTCCTTGTGCACCTTTCTGATGACTGTTTTTCAGTAGGGAAAGGCCATAAAAGGAACTTTGACAAGTCAATTCGGATGACTATCCCGAGCTCTACCCTGCAACTTGACAGGAGACTAAATGGCCATGTAATCACATTAAGAGATAAGAAAATAACTCCAAAAGTATATTATTGCCATTGAAAACAGGAAAAAAACTAGAAAAAATACTGACCATGACTTGTGAACCGTGATCTTGGCCTGTGGTGCCGTATTGGATGCTGTTACACCATGGTTGTTCTGTGGAGATGTTTGGAATGTGTGCAGGAAATGACTCTGACTCATCAGGACCTGTAGATCCTGGTAGACCCTCAAAACCATCGATGCTTCTAGCATTTTTGAAGGGTGAACCTTCTGGTGGGAGGGCTTGATGTGCTTCCTGGAAGACATCTTCGCTGATCTGCCTCTTGTAAGGGTGAAAGGGGTTTCTGCTGCTCTTGAGAAACCTGTCATAATTTCCTACAGTACTTTCCTCGTAACTGTACCGTCTGAATTTTTCAGCACTGAAAGATGCTTTAAATTTGTTCTTGCCACAGTGGATTCCTTGGCTTGTAGGATATCTCCCATGAATTTGATCCTGTGCTGGAGAAGCAGGGCTGGGGCTGTGAGAAGACTCTGAACTCTTCCTTTCTGTCCTGCTGTCTGACTCGTATGCTTGGCAGTTATAGCTGGGATTATCCTGCAATGATTTATCGGCATTTATTTAGGATTAGTACGAGCAAATATTTTATTATTTTCATTATTTACAAAAAAAGTACGTTAAAAATATATTATTGGTGTGAAGTATAAAATCACTAGTCCTAGCCACCTTCATGCAGAGAAGCCCTAAAAGATCTAAAGGTTTTTCTGTTTACTCTGTATCCAAAACTGTTCAAAAGTAAATTAGTAAAAGCTTTGAGAAGACTGAACTATCTTGGAAAAACAGGACGTCTTAGGTGACTATTGACTAGTTGGTCTGACAATTTCAGGGAAAAGATGATGTATGATCAAGTGATGAAAGATTAAATGACAGGAATATGATAAGTGCAAGTCTTGTCATATACAAGTTTAGTCAAATAAGCTTGATCTCATTCTCTGATGGTGTTACAAGCTGCCAGATATGTTGCTAGTTACATCACTTCCTTTCATTAACATAGCCACACTCATTCTGTGAGACAGGTAGGCTCTAGGCAGACGTTTTAACCTTCTTCCTGTCTCATCTCCTCCCTTCCCTTTTGCACTTTAGCAAAAAGAAAATAGCAGCTACTAAAGTGCTCTTTAATCTAGAAGAGAAAAGCTTAACAAGAACTAGTGTCTGAATCCTGAAGCTGAACACATTCAGCTTAGAAATTACGCATATTTTCCCTGACATCAAGGATGAGTAACAACTTGGATGCCTTTTGAGAAGACGTGCTTAAGTCAAGAGCAGGTTATTGTGTTCAGTGAAGGGGAAAACGTAATGTTCTGTGTTACACAAAAAGTCACACCAGATTATCAAGTGGTCCCTTTCCACCTTCCTCCTCCAAATCCTACTTGCTCTTATAGTATTTTAGGAGAACAGGTAAAGGAATATATGGCTTCATGGAAGAACCAGATTTCAAGTCCCAAAGGGAAGTTAGCATGAAACCCAGTGCTTTCTGCAGAGTGGAACACGGCACAGCTTTTTCATTCATTTGCACATGGGTCTGCATGTCAAAGCTATTAATGTTTTGTTCTGTTGTGGATTCCTGCAGAAAGCAAATCTGACCTCATGACACTTTTGGCTTCTCACATGAACACGAACCTGCTCAGTTCGTAACTTCTTGATTCTTACTTCTTCGCTCTCCTCTATAGTCCTAATACATGTGTTGATGATATCTTTTGTTAAATAAGAATTTTAAAAAACCCCTGTATTTCGTGATGTAAAGCTGTATGAATGGCAGTGCTGTCAATTCTCCACCTGAAATTTTCATAATAAAAGTATGACAATGGTTATTTTGCTGTTGTTTGATGAAGAACACTATTCTCAGTTGTACTTTTATTATGAAAGGTAAACATGATGAATATACAGGCAACAGGAGAGAGATCATTGTATTCCAAAAAAGTACCAAGGAATTCTGAAGTGCTTGAAGTTATCGTCTAGTGGCAGGGAGTAGACAAAAAGGTTCTGATGTCTCCCTGTCTGTCTGCTTTTTTATTTATTTATTTTAGAAACAGGATGATAATTACTCTAAATGTAGCATTTTTACTGGATTAGTAGCTAGATGGATTGCCTGTTTTGTTTTTAAAGTAATAGGATTTTTAAGCAATCGAATAAGAAATTTAGCATGGAGCTTAAGACTGGCTCAGAAGAGTAACTCAGGTTTCTACTCTTCAAGAATAAAACTTTCAGTGCTTACTTTGTTACCAGTTAAGTATGCTGAGATTTAGTATAGAAATTGCTGAATATTGTATCTGAACTTGTGCCTCTGAAGAAGTAGAACAGAACTGGGCCGTCTTACTCACAGTTTGCTGAACTGGGGATACCGAATCCCCCTGTGTCTTCATGAGGTCTTGTTGATCCCTTTCCAGAGTGTCCGAAGAAGAAAATTTAATAGTAGATTGATCTTGGAGTAATGAAACCATTACCAAATCCACGTCAGATAGAAATCCTGTTATGACAAAATCAAATTACAATAAATATTTTCTAAAACGTAAACTGTAAAAGAAACCATCTTGTTACGTGCAGACGACTAGACAGTGTTAGATATGCAGCTGGATGATAACCCATCCTGAAGAATTCCTAATACAGTTGAATTTTTTTTTTTTTAGCTGTTAAAGAAATGTTCTGTAGGTGCAATTACATTGAAGATGTTATAGAGAGTTTATATGGATTTACCACACAATTTTTATAAAAATAAGTCATTACTTTGTTTTCTATAGGTTCATAAGTTAATGAACTATTGCTTTGGGGTTATGCAAATTTAGCAATATTGCTTTATTGAGAGACTGTAATATAAATGCACCTCAGTTGCTTTCAGTGGGACTATATAAAATAAAAGGGCTTTTTGCTAACATTACTTAGGCTGATGGTTACTACAGACTTGTATTTTTGCTTTTGCTTTTTTATTAATACCAATCCCTTTAGCCTTTTCATTCTGTTTTGCATGATTAAATGTATCTGAGATATGTAAATAACTTCATCATTCCATACCTATTTTTGTTAGTTGTATCTCCTCTCAAGTTCCCAATCTTTGATCTTTGGATATATGAGAGATATCTGATGGTGTTCTTCAGATCAAGAGGAATAAATTTAATCTTCTAGTATTTTGTTTTCTACCATGTTTTTTTCCCAGTCCTTGTTCACTGTAACCGTACAGTAAAAATACAAAAGAAGAACTTGCATCCTCTTCTTATGTCATGCACCTATGTAAAGATGTCTTGTGTTCAGTTTAGATTTCAGGTGTACAAGTTGGCGAAAAAAAGCCACTTTAATTCAGGAGTTAATTTGCCACGTGTTTAAGTGGCTGTTAGGTAAATAACTAAGGGGTTTATTAGGTTCGGTTAACAAAGATCTATCACCTAAAAATGTGGAAAACGTTTTCTGCCCTTATAGTTCAAAGAGAAATCTTATATTTATGATGAGTTAGACTGCACTGCCTTAGGAGATAAAGCACAACAGGGATTGGAAATCAAGTATGAGACCTATAGTAGTATGTCAGGAAAAAATGATGTTAGATAAAGTTCAGAAATGTCTTAGGTGCAGACTATTCTCCCAGTAGCTTAACTGGAGTCTGGTGATGAGATATACTTCTAACTGACACTCATCTTGAAAGAACCAGGTGGGAAAATGAACAACTAGGAAATATATGTGTGTGTAGATTTTAAGTGTTCCACACTGTCTGCCCTCTTAGAGCTGGTTTCCCACTTATCTTCAGGTTATACAAAGCAGCATCTGACCTCTCTTTTATAATGCAGTTTTTCAAGCCAGCTGCCTAATTTGTGGTCTTAAGCATTAGACTTTTATTAAAAGCTTTTGTACAGTTAGGATTCTTGCCTAATGGCTTTTGCATTGCAAGAGACATTTGACAAATGGTCACAAATAAAGAAAAAGGAGGAGCTTGATTTCAAGAAAATCAGATTAATGAAAATAAGAAAATAGGTAAGTAAAAAAGCTCTGATTGCGGAATATAATAATGCCTGAAGCTTTTCTGTTCTTGTTATGTTTAACATTAGGATCTGTGACAGATAAAAAGAAGCATTATCTAAAGGGTTAATTCAACACGTCAGTAAGGTCTGGCTCTGCTTTCTGAAGGTGATCAGACTTCCTTTCTGAAAGCAAAGTGAATATATCATGGTTATTTGGACAGTCAATACAAAAGGTCCAGGAAAACCCAGTTGTTATTGTCCCTCCCCTCCAAGACTTTTGCCAGGTTCTGTTTATGAATTACATTTTGCTGTCTCATGGAGGCTGGTAGGAAAGGAGGAGTCTTACTGCCATTTTAGTACTATACAAAATTCCCCCCTGCATAGTGAAAGTGTTTTACTGAATATTAAATGAGAAACAGCCTTGTACTAAAACAATGTCGAGCTGATAATCTGCACTTAATGGCGGTTACTTAATGCCTTTGTCGAGGATGCATTTCAGAGGGATCTCCCATATGGGGAAAAATCCCAAGTCTATGGTCACAGTGCTGTTTTCAGTGTTTACATTAAGATCAGCACCATTCTTCAGCAGCTCAGTAATAACTGCCTCTTATCCTAGAAATGGCATGCTGTGGATATAGCTTGTTGTGAGAGAAAAACCTCTGGCCATGTACTTCTGACTTTCTCGTTTTTTCTTGGAATCCAGACTTCTCGCTCCAAAAGCCATTTGCAACTTTACTTTCACTGATATGTATCACAGCAGGCTATGAGTACAGGTAAGCAGAAACTGCCAAATTAACAAACGGAAAAATCTTTGCTGTTACTGTTCTTTAAATCTCATTTTTTGTTTTTAAAATGTCCCTTAGAGACACTAACTTTATTTTGTAGAAAGAATATATAACAAAAAAAAACCCAAACCACACCACTTTGCATTGTTATTATAGACTTTAGCAAAGAGAAATCAGACCACTTACTGACAAATCTTCTTTGAGAGAAGAAATTACGGTCAGTGGAGGTTGTCAATAATCAGGATTACAGTAAACCATTTACAGTAAACTGTTCCTGGGAGACAGAGAGCTTAAGGAAATTGTGGGTTGCCTAGATGTAGGACGTGTTAAAGAAAACAATGATGCTTTGATTTGGAAAAAGGTATCTGATTATCCCAGATGTAGCTGGAACCTTTTCTCCCCAGCCCATGTCATTTTTACTTTTGTAAATGTTGCGTGACAATCCTAGGCTCCTATGATAAGATAACTATCTTTAAAAAAAGAAAATAGTGAGAAACTGTAACCTCAGCTGAGCGTTTGGATAAGCAAGGTAGCAGCAGCTGATCTATTAGCTCTGCATGACTGGAGTCCTGTGGCAGCAATCCATAGTTTAAACAATTCTTGGGTTTGTGTCTTTTCTGGATATTGAAGGGCATTTTGCCGGTGATACACTTCACCAGAGCTCGGCACTGGGCCGTCTAAGCAATCTGAACTGCTCTAAACGCTGTATGTTACTGTAAATGCCCTCTCCATCCCTTGGGGCTGAGATCAGTTTTCATGAGAGGAAGGTGTGTTTGGATGTTCCCCAATTCATAATTCATTCTGCATGCATGCCTTAGGCAGCTCACTGATCCTTGCTTGACACTGGCTTGTGTGATCTACTGTCTTCTCTGCCCTCACCCCAAAACACTAAATCATCTTTTTCGTCTCCAAATCACACTGATGTTTTCCAGAGCAAGAAAGAAGTAACTATTTGGGATTTTTTTCCTGAGTCTTTTATGAGAAAGGAGTCAGAGAAGCCATGAGGTTTTAGAATTCCACTTTTCAGTTTATAGTTAAAAATCTGCCCCCCAATAATGTCAAGTTCCAAATATTGTAGAAGTGACCAAAATTTTGTAACTAACACTTGCCATGTATACAGGAATATTTCTATGTGTAATTATTTATATTGGAAACTTACAGAAGAAAAGGATTTTATTAATGAGAATCAGAAACTTTTGTGGCTTACAATGAATACAAGACCTGCTTTCTAAGCTTATTCCTGACAGATTGACACTGAAGGTTGTGCTGGATCATGGTTGGTGATGGCTATGGTTGCTTTGTTGATCTCTAACATTCTTGTCATGAATGCTTGCCCTATTTTCAGAAGACGTTTTCAGGAGCAGGATTTCAATCTGCACAGCACAGCACTGAACTCTGGTTTAGCCACATCAATTTCTTACTGCTTTCTTGCTTCTCTTTATAGTATGCATAGGATACTTGAATAGCTTTTAGAGAGCTTCTAAGGACTGTATTTTCTTCTTTTCTGAGTTTGGATCTGTTTGTGAGTCTTTGTTTAATATAACTATGCTATTTTTGCTTATTCAAGGGTTCTGAGCTCAATTCTCTCATGGTTAGCTAGTGGTTACTGCCCACATTTAGATATCTCTGGAAATAACTTTTGTATATTTAGTGGGAGCACGTGGAAAATAAGCTTAATTCATCAGGGCCAGAACAGTGATAATCTCAAGTATGGGTGAAGAAAGTTGCAACCATGAGACCCTTTCTGCATTATATTACATGGGATGAATTTGCTACCTTCTTAATAGTAACTGTCGGGAAGGAAAGCCGTTTGGCTACAGCTGCGTTACCACTTGCCTGATGTTACATCTCTCCATGTGAATCAATTCCTATGGAATAGTTATTCTGAGAGTGATGTAAATAACCTGAATGTTACAACATTGAATGAGTTTACATGTAGGTAGTTGGTTTTCAGAACCCCGTAGAAGTGTAGATTCTACTCAAGTAGACCTGGTTGTGGAAAAATTCCATGTGAGTTTGGATTTGAGACTTGTTATGTGAACTGACACTTGAGTGGAATAATGATGAGCTTAATTTGATAAATCTAGACAGGGCAAGTTGTCTAGTGGGGTACTTCAGGGTTTAGGATTAACTCTAATGTCATTTATTATTTTCATTAGAGATTTGAGAGAAAGTAAATTGATTGATGATATCCACATGTAGTAGTAAATTAAGATTGTGTGTTAAGACAAATATTACTAAAGGCAATTGGGTGCTAGAAGCATGGTGACATTATAAAATAGCAAAAGATGTAGAAGCCTGGATCTAGCAATTCTCTGAGAAATTTAAGAGTGATGGACAGATTGTGGTCTGCAGTATCATAGGCCATTAAGAAGTCTACCAAAATTTTGGGTCACCTACCTCAAGGGACTGAATTAATGTAAGAGAAGGATGCCATTTTTTAAGAGATCATTCCTGAATTATCAGGGTTTATTTCTTTTCATTAAGGGCTACCTGTAGGCAAGGCTGAATACCAAGTGATCACTGTGTACTATATAGAGACTTAGGGTAATTGCCACCATGTCCAGATGTGCTCTCAAGCAGGAGTGGTTAGGAGCTCTACAACATCCAGGTGCTTCCTGGATGAGTGGAGAG